AATCTTAATCTCGAATGGCTTCACTCTTGTGTTGCTAATCAGCAATGTTAACGAATAGCTTGAAGGCTTCTCTTCATTATGCCACAACTAGATGGACACTTAAGAAGTGATCAATTCTTCTAACATAATTGTCTTTCATTTTTGCTATGAGCTAGGATATGTGCCATCTTCAACTAAGGCGATCATCTGCTTCTGACAACGTCACAAGGAAGTGTTAGAAGTTCTCTTAATTTTTTAATAGTGGGTGACCAAAATGAAACCAAAACATAATGTTAGGTATAATTTTGAAAATAATAATTAGGTAACTAAAACAAAACCAAAATAATAATCGGGGTACTAAACTTGCAGTTTACCCTTTATTTTATTAATATAATATATATTATAAAGTATAATGTTTTTACATATTGTTCGATCTATTGAACATATTGCATTTCCATATTCTTCATCACGACTACTATCAATCTATTAATAGTTTGAGTATGTTTGTTTAAGTGAAAAAGAAAATAATTTTTAATGACGTGTTTAGTTAAAAACGACAGAAAAATTAATCATTTTTACTTCTTAATGCATAAATTTTAAAATATTTCAAATTGAAATAATGAGAGAAATGAGACAATAGAGGGAAAATTTTGTATAAAATTATTATTGTCAGATACATTTCCATGGTGATATGAACGACGACATACATTTCTTCAATCATTGCTGACTAGGACTGCAATTGAATGAGGGTTACATGTTCAGTTTCTCGCTAATATAGGTCGTGGGAAAAATAATTTTGCCATATAATACATTCATTATATTATTTCTCGAATTAGGATTTCTTATTGGTCTGAAGACACCGTGCACTCTTAGAGTCTTCTCAATTTACCTGAAGACGCCATGCAATCGTGGAATCTTCTTCATTTACCTAAAGACATCACGCAGTTGTGGAGTCTTCATATTTAGTTTGAAGACGCGTGGAGCCCCTGGCGTATTTAGGTTGGTACTGTTCAATTCACCCTAGATGAAGAAATAATCCTCGAGATGAACTATATTGAGAATTAAAAAATCTCACTTACATTATCTCAGCAATTTCTCCTATGAAAATAGAATAAACATTAAGAAAAACATTATACAAAATACAGTATTTAAAGAAAGGAATCTTTTTAAGTATATGAAAATGATATTGAAGATACATAACTATTATAATATTGTAATACGTTGAATATACACTCAAAATGTATTAATTTTCTTTGACATGTATTAATACATATATAAATTACTATAAATTTTTTAACATTTGATGAAAATATTTTTATCCGCTTTTTAAGTTTTAAAATCAATTCGATTTTTGACATAGTATATTTGGTTGGTTGATCAAACTGTTCATATTTGTTCTCTTATATTTCTTTAAGTAATGAATTTTAGGCTCATATAGAACACCTCTCTTCCTCCCCTAGAGTCTCCTATTCCCCTCCCCTCTAGGTAAGATTAGGATTAATTTTTCAAAAAAATATTCTAGCAACTATCAATGATCTCCAAGTCTATTGAAACCTATACACAATATTGACGTAGCTGTAGAAATTAAGAGAACCAATATATCAAATTATTCAGCGAATGATTCTAAATGCACTAACAAAATGTCGCAAAAGAGAATTTAACTATACAGGATCATCAATCTTTCCTAATCAAGAGGTGTACCGTGACGAATGTAACACGAAACATCAAACTATCATAATGATAGATAAAATTGTACCATAAAAATAGACAAACAACCATGTCATTAAAAATATACAAAAATAAGTGTTTCAAAAATATTATATGATAAGAAAAAATCAAAATACCTTTCAAATTCTCATACTCTTTCCCTCTGAGATTAAAGTGTTTTAAGCACCATATATATTTTTTTGCAATAATATTTGCATATAATTTACTTTAGCATGAATTACTTATTACCACTTAACTATTTTAAATATATTATATATCATTTTAAAGGTATTGTGGTGTAGAATATAAAACTAAAATTGTATTATTCAAAGCTTCAATTTTACCAATAAATAATACCTCTCAAAATTTCGAAGTATTCAATATTTTCCGACAGAACTAATTATTATTAAAAATTGAATCAATTATCTGATAAACATATTTGATAGAATATTCTTAAAAGAAAATGAAAGGCGTTCAACAAAGTCATTAAGCATTAAAAGAGATTTCATTTTAAAATGATATATGAGGAAGATATTAGCTGGAAGGTGTAAGAATAACCTTCATGAAAGAAGCAACTTATAATTTAGGGTAGACTACACATTTAATGCCCAAACTATTAGTTTTATTCTGTTTTGTTATATAAACTTTTCTATTTTTTAAATCATATTAAACGTTTAGTTTATGTTCTTTTAAAAAACTTTACAGTAGTATTGACGTATCATCATAAGGTAATGTCACATCATCATTGAAAAATAAAAAAAAGTCACATTAACAGATTAAGTTTTTAACGACGGGTGCTAAAATGTTAAGTAGAATTTAAAAAAAATAAAATTTAAGTATCAAATAGAACAAAAGTAATAATTTAAGTACTAGATTTATAGTTTATCCTATAATTTATTTGTGGGATTTAAATCCCCAAGAGTTGCACGACCTTGAGCCTTTAACCAAACAAGACAAACATGAAACATAAATAAATAAATACAGACTTTGTCTGTTGCGGATCGGAATAAGTAGATGGTAAGCTTAAAACCAGGGTTCAAAGTAGTTTTAGAACTCATAAACGTGGGCAAGGGAGTGCGACAAGATCCCGACATCCACACCCTAAAACACGCATCGGTGGGCTGGCAAGACAATGTGCATACATTCGTATATGAATCAATATATCATGCACATTATACTTTCATATTTTAGCACCTAGTCTATAAAATTGTATGAATATTCATTAATAACTAGTTAAAATTATATGGATGAATGTATAATTTTATGTTAAGGAGTAATTTTTAAAATTTTAATAAATGACGAATTCATAAAATATCATAAAATATTAAGGGAATAAAAACATATTTTCAATATAAAATATACAGATAAAATCTAAAATATATGATAATTTTAAATTTTCACCCCTACCTCCTAAATCCATCCCCGATTGAAAGTATTTCAAATAGATATTATATTATATTCATTTCAAATTAATAAGAAAATGAGTATGTTTGGAGAAAATCAAACAATCAAAAATTAATTTTTAATCCTAATGATTTATTAATTTGAAAATTGTAATTATTTGAATTAAATTAAATTAAATTATTATTTTCATAATGTAAAATTTATTTATTTAAAATAATTTATAATATATATATAAAGGTTTTAAAATGTTATTAAATGATAGAAAACTATAAAAATATTTTGTGAAAGTAAATTAAAAATTAGGAAAATAAAACTCGAGAATCAAATCAAATCAAATCATCACATATGACTCAAAAATCTTATGGAACTAAAATGATTTCACCCCTAATATATACATATATAATTTGGCATGTAGAATATGTCCAAAAAATTAAGAAAATATTGGTTGATACATTTAATTAAATTATTGACATAAATATTATAAGAATCAATTGAATTTATTTCAGATTCCAAAATGGAATGGCACTGGCTTGTAAAAGGCAACCAATTATAAAAATAAAGAAAGGTGTGAGAAAATTAAGAAAATATAAAAGTAAAGAACTATTAAATTGAAGACTTGATAAAGTAATGTTCTATAACTTAGTTTTTTAAATATATTTTATGTTTCGCGTTCATAATTCTTCCCCCTAATTATATTTTTGTTAATTTTTTTTAAAATAATACTTTATTAACGTATCCAGCAGTTTTTAGTGCTATTAATTCAACTTTAATTATACACAATTAATTTAAACGACTAGTCCTAAACTCTCTTTAGTCGGGAGTTAAGTGTAATCAAGGGAAATAATGCCACGTTTTTCTACTAAATTTGTGGCTAAATCTAACTTTTCCTTCTAGTGAAAAAGGCTAGGGTTTAGGGAGTTTAAAGACAGCCTTAAAACCTGAAAAACCAACCAATCTCAACACGACAGCTCAGCTAAAACAAATTCCATAAACATAGGACGGTCCAAACCTACTGCCAGCAACTCTGCTTTAATTAAACACGTGGGTTAATTCTTTCAATGACCCCAACTTAATTCACTTTGCCCCATCTAAAATTGAATTATCAATTTGTTTAATTCGAGTATTTGAAAATATAATAACTTTATTTGATGAAATAATTCATTATCTTTATATTTTCTTTATGATATAATGGGATTATTTTTTATTTAAATTATGAAATAAATAGATGAAAAATATTTATGCAAACAAATCTAATATCCGTCAAAATTTTGTTATATGGCAAGTTTCTTAAATATGGGAGATTTAATATTTAACCTTTATATTTATATAAATTGTATGCAATTTTATTTTCTTCAAATTTTATTAAAAAATAATAGAGTTGACTAAAACTCTCTTCACTCGTCTATTTTGGGTATAAACCAGATGTAGGGATTTCCTCCAAATTTATTTTGATAATAGAATTATGTTCGAATTGTATTCATCAATATGGTTTGGTTTATACTTTTCTTTATTACAAAATAATAATTTATATGGTATATTAATCTAAAATTAAAATTCGTCCTGTTCTTCGATCATTGGTATGCCCAGCTGCCACTTCTTTAATGTACGCCGGCGTGTGTGTTTGCTGAAGTTGCATGTTTTTGAGGTGTCGTGTCGGGTTGTGTCTGAGACTGAATCTGAATCTGAGTCAAGAATTATATGATATTAGTATTACTATTTATCAAAATTTTAATTTTTATGGTATTTGATTTGCCTTAAAAAGAGTGGGAGGATTCAGGGGAGTCTAAAGATTCTTGTTCTTTTTGTATATAAATAGAGAGTTTCCTGCATTTTTTTTCTCATACTATTGCATAGCCATAGACTACTGAACAAGAAAAAGAAAAGCCCTTTCTTTCCTAAACACAGAATCAAAGAGACAGAAACCAAGTTTTCTCAAACAAACCAAAATCTATAATGGGTAGCAATTGTTTCTCCATCTCCTCTGTTCTTTTGTTTTTTAAGAGTGTGGGTTTGTTTTTGTTCATACTGAAAATTTTCAAAGCCCGAGTTTGATTTCTACTATTGTTTCTCCTCTTCTCCATGTTTTGATATGGATGGGAGTGTTTCTTCTTCTTCTTAAACCAATTTACCAACACGTAGACAACTACTTTTCTATTTCCTCTGCTCAAAGTTTGCGTTTTTTTAAGGTTTTGCAGAGGATTTCGGTTCTAGTTTTTGTATTGGTTGCTTTTGTTTTTGAACTATTATCCTTACTTTCTAGCATTGGCTGAATCTTTTCGTTCTTGTTTTTTCAGAGATGAACATGAGCTTTTCCCATGACATGGACGATGAATATGAGAAACTCATTAGAAGAATGAATCCACCCAGGTAACCGAAAAAAACTCGTCTTCTTTATTGTTTTCTCATTAGAGTTATGGGGAAAAAATATTCTCTTCTAACCTTTCTTCTCAGGGTTGTGATTGATAATGAAGCCTGCAAGAATGCAACAGTGATAAGTGTATGTATATATATTTCCACTATTTGAACATCTTCCCCTTCATTTTTATGCTTCTTTAATTCTCATTTGATTTTCTTAATGCAGGTTGATAGTGCAAACAAACATGGAATCCTTCTTGAAGTTGTACAAATCCTCACTGATATTAATCTTATCATTACTAAGGCTTACATATCTTCTGATGGCAATTGGTTCATGGATGGTAAGATACATATATATATATATATATATATATATATATATATATATATATATACACTCTTTTTAGAAGTAGTCATTTGATTCTAAAATTTGTTGTTTTTAAACCAGTTTTCAATGTTACTGATCATGATGGAAACAAAATCCTAGATGAAGGGATTCTAGATTATATAAGGAAGGTAAGCAGTACAAATTTTGATTTATTTCCCCTTTTCTCCCTCTCACTTTCCTGGTTTTTTTGTACTAATTAATTGTTTTGGTCTGTAGTCTCTAGGACCAGAATCTTGTTTCACACCTTCAATGAGATCTGTTGGGGTGAAGCAATCAATGGACCACACCGCAATCGAGTTAACAGGAAGCGACAGGCCGGGATTGCTGTCTGAAGTGAGTGCTGTCCTGAAGCATCTTAAATGCAATGTAGTAAATGCTGAAGTTTGGACACATAACACCCGTGCTGCGGCTGTGATGCAAGTGACCGATGAGGAAACGGAAACCGCGATTACCGACCCCGAAAGACTGTCGAGGATAAAGACACTTCTTTGCAATGTGCTCAAGGGTAGCAACAAATCCAGCTTAGCCAAAACTGTGGTCTCCCACTCGGTCACACATACTGATAGAAGGCTTCATCAGATGATGTTTGCCGATAGGGATTACGAACGAATCGGGGAAGATGTCTTGGACGACAGGCAAAGGCCAAATGTCGATGTCGTTAATTGGTATGATAAGGACTATTCAGTGGTTACAATTAGGTGTAAAGATAGACCGAAACTTCTCTTCGATACGGTTTGCACCTTAACAGATATGGACTATGTAGTTTTTCATGCAAATATCGATACTTTGGGACCTGATTCGTATCAGGTAACTCCATTCTTTTATGCTCTCCTTTTATATAGCTTGTTCCCTCAAGTATTGGGATTAAAAGTCTGTTATTTTCATAGGAATATTACATTCGGCATATCGATGGATCCCCGGTGAAATCGGATGCTGAGAGAGAAAGGGTAACTCAGTGTCTTGAAGCAGCAATTGCCAGAAGGGTATCTGAGGTGAATGCCCTTTCATAATTGGATTATTATTTCAGACAACAGAATTGTTTTATCTGGATGATGCATGTCATGACATCAAAAGTATCAGCATTTTCATAGTGTTTTATACAGCTTTAATTTGTATAAAATAATATAATTTGAAGGAATCATTTTTCATGTGTATGTACTATTCTGCTGCTTGTGAATAAATTAATCTCATACTCTGGAATTTGTTTACAGTTAATGGTCCCTCTTTCAAGTTCCCAGAAGCTATCTAAATAGTTTGGTACTGAAATTGACACAAAATGTTTAATAAATATGAAAAGATATTATTATGATATAACAATATGTAGCCATATTCAAAACATGAGCAGTGTAGCAGACCCTCCAGTCAAAGATCTCTAGCTGCTACATGTTTGACTCCTTTGTCAAATTATGTTATCTCATTATCTAGTCGTCTCCCTCTATATGCTCAGACTCGTTCGTTTTCTTGAAGTATTCGTGTCCGACACTTATGTTCGATTCATATTTGAGTCGGAGTTACATAGGTTGCCTTGCTAACCCACTTGTCTCTTATCCAGGGTTTGAAGCTCGAACTCTGCACGACCGACAGAGTTGGATTGCTGTCCGATGTAACTCGGATCTTCCGCGAGAGCAGCCTTACCGTCACCCGAGCTGAAGTAACAACAAAGGCAGGCAAAGCGGTTAACACATTCTATGTTCGCGATACGTCTGGTTATCCTGTTGATGCTAAGACCATAGATTCTATCAGACAAGTTATAGGCCAGACCATACTAAAAGTTAAAGGCAACCCTGAAGACATCAAACCAGTTTCCCAGGAATCTCCAACTAGGTTCCTTTTTGGTGGTCTCTTCAAGTCAAGCTCTTTTGTCAACTTCAGCTTGGTCAGATCATATTCCTAGGAACATATATATATATATGGATGTAAATGAAAACCCATATAGCTTTAGATCTAGTCTGGTCTAGGGAATCGTTTATCAGTTGTGGTAATGGATATTAAGAGACGTAGGTAGAAATGTAAATATGCAGACTCATCTGTGCTATTTACTGTGTATCCAATCTATAGTTGGATCCACCAAAAGCTGAAAAATGAAACAGTCGACTTATTTACTACATGATAAGTTTCTTCAATCTTCATTGGCTATTTACCCTTATTTTCATTATGGTAAATTTTATTTTAGTCACTCAACTAGCACTTTGATTTCATTTTTGTTATCCAACTATTTTTTCTATTAAAATCATTGTTAACATTATGTTTTAGTTCCATTTTGATCACCCACTATTTATCCTGCCTAGGTCACCCTTCTGTTTATTGTTTATGTGCCTGATGACACTATTTGCTTTACGTTTTGACTGTAATTTTGGACTATTGTCCTTGTTTTCGATAGTATTATATTATTTAAAGGGGTGGGTAAGGACTTTAGGCTGACTGATGAGCCCACCCACCAAATCAGCCATTGGACACGCAAATAAGTATGGCTGCTTTGGTGGTGGCCTTTGCAAATCATTTCTTGAGTTCCCATTTCCAACTTGTACCAAGTTTTTTGGTTTGAATCTTCTTGCCATTGCTCTTACTCCAAGACATTTCATTTCTTTAAGGCTTTGATTCCTATGCTGTCAAGAATTGAAGGAGTTAAGAATAAGAAAACAATATATTAAACATTCGAAAACACCAAAATACGAATACTTTTTTTGACAAAAAATACTAATAATTTTATAATAGAAGTTTAAATATTTATGACAATATAATCATATTAAATGCCCATATGGATTATGAAAGTTGAAAATTAAGTTACACAACATAAGAGGTTAAGCATCCTATTAAATAATCTATGTGGTAAATGGTAAATTAAGTTACCAAAATACGATTTGTCAATAGCTAAAAAATTATAAATATATATTACCCTATAATCATTATGAACTATTAAAAAAATTAAAATGTTAAATCATTGTGATGTTTCGAAAGCAATGCATCAAGTATAATATCTAAATGGAGAAAACCTTCCTGCCTTAGTATACTTAGTTTTTAGAAAAAATTATGTGTTTAGTAATTAGATGAAATGTTTTTTTTTTTTGAAGTTTTGGGTTCTTTCAGTTGTGTCTGTAGACGGTATTTGTTGTTAATGGTTAAGAAAGATTTTAAATAGATATTACCTTATCATCAACCCAACTATTAAAAGACATGTACTTATTTAAAATTCATATTTAAATTTTTAATTCTCGTCCTTCCTTTTATTGGTTTTCGTTGATATATGCTGACCGATAAAATAAATAATTTAAAAGAAATTTTGAATTTTAAAATGTACATTTACTCTAATATAATTCAAAGTTTCCAACTGGATATTTCAAATCAGGCATTGCATAAACCCTCTAAGAGAACTGGCCAACCAAGATATTCCAAATCAGACACAAATTCCATGTTTTGTAACTTGTGGGGTCTTGTACTGGACCTTTGCTCCCCAAACCAGGATTTTGGATGTGCTGAAGAGAACATATATGTAATGTACTTCTAAACCCACCACGGTTGCCCATACGACTCGGCTCGATCCGAATCTCCTTTGTCTAGTCTACACCATGCCAACCTTAAAGCGAAATGAGCTATACAGATACAACAAAGAACATACGACTCAGCTCGATCTGAATTTCCTTTGTCTAGTCTACACCATGCCAACCTTAAAGCGGAATGAGTTATACAGATACAACAAAGAACGACATAAAACAACAGATGGGACTCAGTAAAGAACCATGGCCGTGCAAGGTGGCTTTAGGGATTCACGACAAACGATAGCTACCCAACTAGCGTACAATTATGTTATGATATTCGTTATCTTGAAAGATTACATTCTATATGCTATAGTGGATGTGAAATTTAAATTTATATATATTGTATAATTGACTGAATGGAATTTCGAATGGATAATTTTGATCTTAATCAGAACATAAGAAGCCAAATGCTTCCTATCGCCATCTGATTCATTACGTAGGACCTTCCTGGACCTATGATTTTTCAAGGTTTGAATTTTATTACATGGTTACATAAGCTCTTCCTTTTAATATCTAGTTGTTTATGGTTTGAGTTACATTTCAGTTTTGGACCAATCTAATGGTGGTTGCATAAGTTCTTGATCACCCTTTTTCTCTAAAACTAAATATTTTTTACTTTTTGTCTTATTAAAAATACTTATTCTTTTAAGATTTTAATGTGTCCGATTATAAATATGAACTAATTCTCATAACTTATAAACACAGTCACCTGAAAATGATTTTTTTAAATACTATATCCAAGTCTTGATTAGGAAACTAATGCTCTGAAATCTGCTATCAGAAGCTTGGAACATGAGATGGTTTTTATTAAAAGGATAATCACATAAATCCTAATTATTTTTAAAATAAACTTTGTTACTAGCACCCAAAGCTTTCAAAAGAGAGGGCAGCCGTATTATACTGGGCAAGGGCAGGGCAGATGATATTCTAATTTACTGATTTATTGTTTATGAACTATAGTTACATGATATTTGTTCTCTGGTTACTTGTTTTCATTGGAAAATATAATCATTCTTGATTTATAGATCATGAAATCTAATGTTTATGTATGAACCGATTATTGAGATATCGTCTGAGTAGGATTCTGAAGTATGGAGGCTTAGCTCTGATCAAGCTGGTATTTTCTTGCGGACCAAAGGTGACGTTGGCTAGGCTCTGAGGCCCCAAGGCATTTCCTTGCGTAGGCTCTAAGGCCCTAAGGTACTCCATTGGGTAGGCTCTTAGGTCCTAAAGTACTCCATTGGGTAGGTTCTCAGGCCCCAAAATATTCCCTTAGGTTGGCACCTACACCTAATGGGCCTAGGGTAAGTCCTTATGGATGCAATTATGAGGAACTATATATCGGTGTTCGGTTGGAGGGTATTACTATGGTTTTAAAATATGTTTTAAACTGCTAATGTTTTTAAAGGATTTGTACAAATTTCTCTATTTTGTTAGAACACACTAGACTCCCCAATTCAATCTTCTGAATATGTCTCTCTCTGTATACTTCCTTCAGACCGTAAATTCCTGGTTGTAACCGAAGACTTAGCTAATGGATTCTGAATTCACTGCTAGAATCTGATAATGACTGTCCCGATAAGGAATTTATGCTTTACCTTATACCTTATGGCCTATTGCATTCATCTGGTAGTTATCTATTACTGAACTTCCCAAAGCTCACTCTTTACTCACTATTTCAGGTTAAAAGAATCAATCAAGTGTAGCTATCAACTTCAGTTTTGGGAGTTCCTTCGGCTTTGCTTGCAGAGTACGATACAATGTGTAATTAAGGGACATGTAGGTCATATTTGATTTTTTATAAATGTACTAAGTCTGAAACTTGTATGATTTTAATTCTGATTGTAATATATGAATGGTTTTCTGAACTTGTGTTTTTTTTATAAATTGTTTTATGATTTTATACGTTGTAACAAAAAAAATTATTTTTTTCTTGAATTTTTATTGTGGATCACTCTGGTGGTCCTAATGTGACACCTCGAATCGGATTAGGTCACTTGCATCGGTATGAGGGTGTTACAAACTCGGCTCAATCTGAATTTCCTTTGTCTAGTCTACACTATGCCAACCTTAAAGCGAAATGAGCTATACAGATACAACAAAGAACGACATAAAACAACAGATGGGACTCAGTAAATAACCATGGCCATGCAAGGTGGCTTTAGGGATTCACGACAAACGATAGCTACCCAACTAGCCTACAATTATGTTATGATATTCGTTATCTTGAAAGATTACATTCTATATGATATAGTGGATGTTGAAATTTAAATTTAGATATATTGTATAATTGACTGAATGAAATTTCGAATGGATAATTTTGATCTTAGTCAGAACATAAGAAGCCAAATGCTTCCTACGCCATCTGATTCATTACGTAGGACCTTCCTGGACCTATGATTTTTCAAGGTCATGATGAACGAATCTATGAGTGAAATCTATTGATCTAAAGGACGAATTGCGAGCACTGGTGGGATCTACCACGCTCTAAATTGTAGTGATTTTTATGCAAAAGTCGTGCTTGCCCAAGTAAACCACATTCGGCCATGCCCAACAACAACAGTGTCACTCCCTAGAATCCAAGGAAAACAATGCTCTTTGCCATCCTTTTCCGTAATATAATTTTTTATTAGTATATATTGATTATAAGAAAATATCTTTTAAGAATCTTTTTAATTTATGATATCACACATCTTGTTGAATTCAAATCTACTAATAAAAATAATATTTCTTTTTATCACTGAGACTAGGGTTGTAAACGAGCTGAGTCGAGCTCGACTCGAAAACTTGCAAGCTCAAAATTGTCAAGCTAGCGAGATTAAATTTTTAAGCTTGACTCAAACTCGAAAAAATTTAAACTTGAAACATTCTCAAACTTAGGTCGATTTACTCTCGAATTCGAATTCGAACATGAACCTTAAGTACATTATATTGTATTTAAAAACTCTAAAAATATTAATATTATTAATGATTTAATTTTAAAAAAATAAAAATAAAAATATTTTATTTTTGAGTTTAAGTCGGATATCAAGTAGTTCACTTCGATTGGTTAAAAACTCGAATCAGATTCATTCAATTCAAAGGTTGATCTAACTCTAACAAAATTAAATTCAAGTAACTCGTGATATGTTTCGTTTCATTTATAGCTTATAACTCATTAAATTATCGATAATATACAAATATTTAAAAAAAAAATTGAATAGTTGGAACAACCTAGTTATAAAACTACACCCTTACCACTACTCAATCATTCCAAACCCTTTCTCCTTCACCTTACAGTTTTATTGATTATAAATAGAAATCTTATGAACCTCATGATATACTCTTAAATACCATTCGCATTTGCGTTATTAAGATTCAAACTCTGTTACAATGCCGAAGAACTCATTCCGTTGCCGGAATGGTTCCGGCGAGCTCGACGTGTTCGAGGCCGCAAAGTATTTCTCGTGCTACAACGAAGCAGCAAGCTACAATTGTGCAACACTAATCAGCCAAAAAATCACACGGGACGAGAGGCAGCCTCCGAAAGGAGGTCGGATCAGCTTGGACGTACCGATGAGAAGAAACCCTCTTCTTCAACAGTCTCATTCGTCGGAAAAACGAGTTAACAACAAAGAGCAAAAACACAAGCAACCGAGTTCACCGGGTGGTAAGCTCGCCAGCTTCTTGAACTCACTTTTCAATCAAACGGGTTCCAAAAAGAAGAAAAACTCTAAATCCTGTACCACACAATCCATGAAGGGTGAAGAAGAAAGCCCCGGTGGTGGAAGAAGGAAAAGGAGGATGAGTATTAGCCATTTCCGTAGCGACGATACGAAGTCGTTTTATTCTTCTTCCAGCTCTGGTTTCAGAACACCACCTCCTTATGCAGCGGCCACTCCTACAAAAAACTACAAAGGTAGTGATCTTTTGAATGAAAAAAGGAATGAGAATTCGAAGTTCATTGATGGGATTTTAGAAAAATACAAGAATCTCGATACCCATCATCGGGATATGAATAACAGGAACGTTAGGGTTGATCGGTATGAATCAGAAGAGAAGGGTTTCGGCCGGAAGTTTTGTGAGATTGCTGATGGTGCAGATAGTGATTCGAGCTCCGATCTTTTCGAGTTGAAAAGCTATGATTTAGGAAGCTATTCCAGTGGTTTGCCTGTGTTTGAAACTACGAACATGGATAGCTTCAAGAGGGGAGCACCGGTTTCCAATGGTGCCCTTTGAGACTTGTACACTTTTTTCTTTAAAAATCTGTGTTCATTTTGTTTTCCATCGCCATTGAAGACTGTGATAACTGATATATATCTTTTATTTTCGCTGCATATTATAGTTTGGAATGTTTGCTTGTCTTTCCTTAATCCATATGGTACAGTTTGGAATGTTTGCTTTTCTTTCTGCAGCAAGTTCAATGAACTTGATTTACAGGGAGGTTCTATTATGAGACTGTTAAAATACAGCTAAAAAAATGATCTGACTGGTTAAATAGGTGCCGATTAAAAGCGCTATCAGAAATGTTATATAATTTCACTGGAAATGCTATTTGTGTTAGTAATAATAATGGTAATAACCGGAAATGTTATAGTCGTATGTAAAATGCGCCAAAAAATTATTGACTTTAACATAACCGGTTAATTACTAGAAACATTATCAACCATAATAGCAAACAAGTAGCACTTATGTAACGTAATAGGTAACGCCTTTTTAAAGTTGATGGGGTTTTAGAAATCCGAAGATAACAAAATATGTTAATTACTTGATTTGTTATCAATATTATCAACAGATGAAGTAACACCTAAAGTGATACCAAATTTTAAGCTGATGGAGCCTTAAAAATCCGACGATAACAAAATAGGTTAATTACTGGAAACATTATCAATAATAATAACATAACAAGTAACGTTTATTTAATGTAATAGGTAGCGCCTGTTTAAAGTTGATAAGGCCGTAGAAATCCAACGATAACAAAATAGGTTAATTACTTGATTTGTTATCAATATTATCAACATATTAGGTAGCGCCTAAAATGTTACCAAAGTTTAAGCTGATGGAGCTTTAGAAATCCGACGATAACAAAATAGGTTAATTACTGGACACATTATCAACCATAATAACATAACAAGTAGCGCTTATTTAATATAATAAGTAGTGCCTATTAAAAGCTGATGGGCCTTAGAAATCTGACGATAACAAAATAGATTAATTACTTGATTTGTTATCAATATTATCAATATATTACCGTGTACATTGTTAATTTACCTATTACTTTAAAGTAATAGGTTTTGAAATCATAAGAATCAATACTTACATGACAATATCTATACTTGTACATTCAAGCCTGTTTTCATTATACCAGTAGAAACATTTACCATGCACATTGTTAATTTACCTATTACTTTAAAGCAATAGGTTTCGAAATTGTACGTATCGATATTTTATACATGTGTATCGATACTTGATGTTTACGCCTATTATCATTATATCGATAAACTTTTACCATTTTCATTGTAAATTAACCTATTACCTTATAGTAATAGGTTTCGAAATTATAAGTATCAATACATTTTGCGAACAAATTGTTTGAGAAGCATACTAGACTAAAAATATCGATAACTATACAAAAAGTGTCGATACTCTATATTTACGTCTATTATCATTAAACCGGTGGACTTTTACCGTTGACATTGTGAATTTACCTATAACTTTAAAGTAGTCAGTTTCAAAATTATAAATATCGATACTTATTATACATGTATCGATATTTTGTGCGTGCAAATTGTTGAGAAGCATACTCAACGAAAAGTTTCAATACATATAAAGAAAATATAAATACTTTATGATTCTGCCTATTATCATTAAACCGGTAGACTTTTACTGTTGACATTTTAATTTACCTATAACTTTAAAGTAATCAGTTTCGAATTTCATCGATACTTTATACATGTGTATCAATACTTTGTGTGTGCAAATTGTTAAGAAACATATCGGGGTAAAAGTATCGATATCTATACAAAAATTATCAATACTCTATGTTTACGCCTATCATCATTAAACCGATAAACTTTTACCGTTGACATTTTAATTTACCTATAACTTTAAAGTAATTGGTTTCGAAATTATAAGTATCGATACTTGCTATACATGTATCGATACTTTGTGCGTGCAAATTGTTAAGAAGCATACTGGACGAAAAGTATTAATAACTATAAAAAAAGTATAGGTACTGTAACACCCCCAACCCGTAACCAACCCAGATATGAATCCGAGGTGTCACATTGACTTTTCAAATCATTTACTTTTACAAGATAACTAAAAATTCAAGTTCACATTTAAAACAAAACTGAATAATTTACATTAAATACAATCATATGATTTTACAAAATCGATTAGAGCATATCTAAAGAAAATATATATTTACATGCCGACTAAAATTAGTATTATAAAACACATACGATTCAATTCTTTTCTGATTTGATCTTCAGAAAGGAGAAACTGACCTGACTTTCCTATATTTGTTTCCTTTTCTCTTCTCAGAACCTACATGTGAAAATACTCACACACTAAGTCAAATACTTAGTGAGGCATATAAATCGTCTAATAGAAACTTTAAATACTTAACAATGCGTGAACACTTCATACAAAGATATCACACAAAACCATAAAACATTTCATATAACAAAATGCATACATGTACATATCTCATAATTATCATTATCAACATCATTATCAATATTATCATTTATGCCTTTAATCATATAATATTGTACTTAATATTTGTGAGTGTCATATCATACATTTCACAAAATAAAACACACAACATGACAAACAAGTATTTATGTTATCTTTATTTAATAACCCATGGTACACTTCTGAGAACTAAAGATATGTGAGTGCATTGAGGTTGTGCACAAATATTGTCACCATATCTCGTATAAATTTCACTGAGTGCCATATAAAATTGTCCCGAAGGACCGCGTAGAGTTGTCCCGAAGGACCGCATAGAGTTGTCCGAAAGGACCACGTAGAATTTTCCAGTAGGACCACATATATGTTCCAAAGGACCAAATATATGTCTCGAAGGACTGCATATATGTTCCAAATGATCACATATATGTCCCAAAGGATCACATATATCTCCCGAAGGACCGCGTAGAACCCTCAACTCTTGGCATGCCAATTATACCCCTAGCTCTTATAAAACATACTATGGGCTTTAAAATTTATATAATTTATTATATCTTATTTCACATAAACAATTAATCACATAGGTCATATCACATGGCTTATATATTGTTCTTATATCTTCTCATAGAATATAAACACGTAGATCCTCATCACATAGTTTGTATTTTATGTTCATATAATCATTTATATCTATACCACATAGCTTATATCAATTTCTCATGTTATCACATAAGCATGTAATCTCATATATTATTATCACATAATTCATATAATATTCTCATAAGGTCATATAGATCATTGTCATATAACACATATCACATAGATTCATACTGCATAACATGTAATGCAAACAAGGCATATTCACACAATACAAATCATAATCATGCTTCTACTCATGCAATCATATATTCAAAATGTCGGAAACAAACTTGTCGCAAGTCTAATTTCCATATAATCATACTTCATACTAGTATGCACTCACCTCGGCCTCACTAGTCCAAGCAATACACTTATCTCTTTCTTAACAATTCACTTTAAAACTCTTTATATTCAATCTTTTATAATTTATTCATCTTTGAGTTTTAAGCCACCTTAAGCTTTCCTTAAGCTTTCTTAACACTCCAAGAATCAAAACCAACTTTAAAATGAAAGTAATAATCAACTTGGAACCAACTTACCTTACTCATGGAATCATAGGAATATAATAAGAAAAAGAAGAAGATAGATGAACCCAAAACTCTTCATATTTTCTTTATCTTTTCCTCCTTAATCCCCACGTGTATATATATATCTCCACCAATATAATTTTTAATTATATTCTTATCAAATGGCCATTATACCATCTCTACTTTCCAACTTTGCTATTAAATCCAACACCAAGATACTTCAATTAAGTCCTTGAACTTTTCAATTTTCTGAAATTGATCACAAATTTTTAAAAACTTACGTTTTAGTCACTAGTTTGATTTTTGGGATGTTACAAATCTCCCCCTTTTAAGAAAATTCATCCTCGAATTTTCACAGCAAAAATGGATGATAATACTATCTACACATATATTCTAATGTTTGCTTCCTTTACTTTAATCTTTCTTATTTATCGATAATAGACTTGCATTTTCACTCCTTCAATTCTTCACCTACTTTCAACCTTTATAAATCCATATAATATCTCTCATCATGTAGACAATAACCCCAATCCTTACCACTTAAGATCATGAGTCAATGAATTTCTTTCATCATCTCTAATTGCTTTAAAATATAAACCAAACCTTTATTCTAGTATCATCTCAAAATAACATGTTTGTCCTTAACAACTTGATCAAAGAGAATATAATCATTTGATTGTATCTTAAACTTCCTTAATACATATAAATAAATCCTTATCTCTCTTACTACGTCTACTTGACCAAGAAATACAACCTTAAATCTTCATCAGGTATGATTAAGACATACACCTTACGAAATCAAACAATCTTTTCATATAACCCTACGTACTTTTTCTAAAAAATGTTCATTTCTTCCTCGTTACCGCTGAGAATTGAAAATTTTCTTACTTCTATGTCAAACTTATAATCTACCCCTCAATATAACTCTTGTCATACTTGATCCATTAAACTCCATCTTTTAATTTCCTTATCTATTTTTTCCTTCAAAAAATTAAGATCTCCTTGTAACATAGGTCATATATTTTCCTTCATGCTCCCATACTCTTTTCATATCACTTATACTTATCTCTGATTACCAATATTTATCACATCTTCATAACTTTGATAGTCAACACTACTTGCACAAAATCTTATTCTTGTAAACTCATTATTCAAATTACAATACACATATTCTTTTTTATCATCTCAATCTTTTCTACTACATCCTTAGCTTCCTTCAGATATACGAATCTTTATCTCCTTAACTACATCACATCTACATGGTCTAGATATACAACTGTGCACAACTCCATTCCATACTTGATTAGCTCAACTCGATATTTTCTTCAAATATTTTAACTCTATACACTTACCATCACATAACCTTGTTAGTCAGCACCAATTCTTTCAATCTAGGGTGAAAACCCTTAACAACCAATCACATACATCCTTTTCAATCATAATTAACTCA